CAGAGGGTTGTTTGGACGTTAGAAGAAGCCCCACCCGTTGGGCATGCGCCCACTGGCCTGTGTCCCCCCGCCACGAAGATGCGCTGGGGAGCAGATCCCTCTGGCACCTCTCTGCAGGCCATGTGCTGGGCCATCAGCCAGGGCTGTGGTAGAGCTTTTGGGCTGTGGTAGAGCTTTTGGGCTGTGGTGCCCTGGGGAGGGGGGCGTTCATTGCACTAAATGTTAAATCTCAGCGACAACACAGCTACTGCTCCTCTGCCAGCCACAGCCCAGACCTGTCATGTTGGAGCGACGTGCTCTCAGGCACGCGGGTTTCCCAGTGCCCCTGGCAGAGGCTGTCTTTATTTTTGGTTTATCCTTTCTGTATGGGCTGCAAGCGAAGGCAGCTTCTGTGCTGCTTGCCTGAGCCTCTCTGGTGATGGGGCTGAAAGTTCCTTCCTATGGAAAAGGTCATGGAAACAGATTGTAGATGAGAGCACCGAGGCAGGCTCCTGCGTCATGCCGCCTTTGTTGCAGTGTACCTGGAGACGTATGGCTGCCAGATGAACGTCAATGACACGGAGATCGCCTGGGCCATCCTGCAGAAGAACGGCTACGCCAGGGCAAAGGACCTGGAGGAGGTAAGGCCCCTTGGCAGCTCTCCCGCAGCGCAGGTCTGTGAGGGCGTCGCCCCACTGCTGTGCCTGCGAGTCCCAGGCTTTGTCTGGAGTGCAGGATGTTGTGATTTTTGCAGTCTAAGGTCTGTGGAGTAAAGGAAGCTACTTAACAAGGGCTCTAGAAAGCTGTGGGTTAGGTTTTTTCATTAAACTGCTGGGTTTCCTCTCAGTCGGGGAGCGATTGGACACAGCGGGATGCTCCTGACTCATCTTTGTCTGAGTTTACTTCTGCCCTTTAGCGGAAGACTCTGCTTGCCGTCTGTGAGTTTCTTGCACCTTTGTTTGTTGAAACCCACTGTTGGGGAGATCTTTCTCAGCGAGTTAAGTGGGTTTTATAGGCTGCCTCTTTGCGTTACCTGTGCAGGGCACGAGTACTTCCATGAATTCTTCTTCCTTTTTTGCTGTTTTCAATTTAGGCAGACGTGGTTCTCCTTGTCACCTGTTCCGTGAGGTAAGGAAATGCCTATCACGGTGGGGTTTGGGCAGTTTTTAAGGAATTACCGTTTGAAAACCAAGACAATAACTGTATTGTGTGTGGAAAAGAGCGCACAAATGTGAAGCTACCCGTTTCGCTGAGGGCAGAGCTAGCTGATGCTAAAGCATGTGACGTTAATTGTGCTGTGAACTGCTTTTCTACATAGCGAGAGGAAGCTCTTTGCTAGCGTAAGCTCTGTGTGTACCTCATGGGCCTTTAGAGGCTGCACAGATTTGTGCTTTAACGATACTTAATTTTTTAAATTCCATCTTATCTTGCACTCTCTGGTACAGAGTCTGTACTTTAAAAATTTGGGAAATACATTTAGGGGCAATTTGGGATATAAACATAAGGGGAACTTTGCTTGTTTTTTCTGAATGCAGGAGATACCAAATGCTCATTGTCACTCGCAAGGTGGCTCATATTGGCTGGCTAAGGCAGGCTTTTTTCTCCCCGAGTTGTTTCTGCAGTGCAGATGCTCCCGAGCAAGTGAAGCGATCGTAGATAAGATAGAGTCAGGACACATCCACGCACCACAAACGGCACTTCCATGTGCCATCAGATCCATTGGGTGGATGATTCCCTGTCTTTAGCTGAAATCTCCTCTCAAAGCACTCGAGCTGCTTCACGCTGGGGGACTGTTTAAAGCGCAGCGATCGGAATAACCGCTGTTTTCCTGGCTTCCCAGGGAGAAAGCAGAGCAGGCTATCTGGAATCGCCTGCGGCACCTCAAGGCGCTAAAAGCCCGGCGGCAGCAGGCTCGCTTACCCCTCCGCATCGGGATTCTAGGTACCTGGCGGGATGCGCAGCAGTGGTAGCACACGCCCTTGTCCCACATCCCATCGTGCTGCGGTTCCTCTTCCCCTGCGGCGGCACCAAGCCTCTTCTGCAGGGTGAAAGCAGGTAGTGAAGGGGTGCGGAGGTGTAACGGAGGGTGGGCGCTTCCTCACAAGGACCCTTCTCCTTTGGCACAGGATGCATGGCTGAGAGGCTTAAGGAGGAGATTCTGCACAGGGAGAAGCTGGTCGATGTCGTGGCAGGCCCTGATGCGTATCGTGACCTTCCCCGGCTGCTGGCTGTGGCAGAGTCGGGCCAGCAAGCTGCTAATGTCCTGCTGTCGCTAGACGAGACTTACGCAGATATCCTGCCTGTCCAGACTAGCGCGGGTGGCACGACAGCGTTTGTGTAAGTACCTTTTCTTCCTGTGCATGTTTCTGTGGTTCTGGTTTGGAAATAGTGCTGTGCAGAACAGACACGTCTGTGACAGCAGCTTCCCAAGAGACGCGATGCCTGGCTGCACTCGCTCCCGGCAGCCCAGAGGCAGGAGTCTACCAGACTGTGTGTTTGCTGCTGCTTCGCTGTCTGACTGAGCCCTGGAGAGACTGCCCCGTGCTCTGGCTGTCTGCGGGCTTCTCTTATTCTCCTTTGAGAACGTCGATTGTCTAAGCCTGATGCTGCACTGAGTGTTTTCTGTCTCACTGACGTCCGTGCCTTTCCAAAGTCTGTGCTTCTCTCATCCCCTGCCTTCTGCTATGTCCTGCCCCAGGTTCTCCTGGTTAGCTCTTCTAATCCTCCATGCATTGCAACTTCTGTTGGTTTTGTTCCCATTTGTTTAGTTTTGATAATGAGATTCCCAAACATGAAATCAGACTCTGCTCGGTGTGGCCATAGAGTACAGAAGGCCAGTGCCCCCTCTGTAGGAACAGGGTGCAGAAGGATCTTTCATCGCTGCCACACTGCAGTGCAAGTCTGTGCCTCGTTAGCTGCTTTCCAGGTTTCTTGGAAACGTGCATGGAAAATTAGGAGGTGTTAGCTAGGGGCAAGCGGCAGAACGGTGTGTAAGGGGAAGCTGCAGAGTTGTGTCCAGAGCTGGTGCTGCGTGTGCTGCAGGCCAAGGGAGCTGGCTGATGGCAGGAGCGCTGGGCCAGGTCAGAGCAGGGCAGGATGCAACAGGGATGATTCTTCCAGAGCGATTGTAGTGATCTGTGCTTTACCTCTCGGCAGATCTATCATGCGGGGCTGTGACAACATGTGTAGCTATTGCATCGTGCCCTTCACCCGTGGCCGCGAAAGGAGCCGCCCCATCGCGTCCATCCTGCAGGAAGTGAGGATGCTCTCGGATCAGGTGAGGCTCTGCCTCCTTCCCACCCGTCCCAAACCACGGGAGGAAGGATGGTTCCCCGTGAAAGTGTTCTCAGTGATACCTTTGACCACCGACACCACCTTATCTGTGGAGATGAGGTTACCACAGGGTTCCACCGGTGGCTTTTTGATTCCCCTTGTAATACCCTGAGACAGGCAGGGAAGGGAGGGCTCCTCCTTGAAGTAAGAGTAAAACCATGGCTGCCCTTGCAGCTCAGCTGTCCTCACCGGGTTATATTTTTTTCCTCTCTCTCTGTTTTTGTAGGGAGTGAAAGAGGTGACCCTTTTGGGTCAGAATGTCAACAGCTTTCGAGACACGTCTGAGGTGCAGTTTCAATCAGCTGCTGCCCCGGTCCTCAGTCGTGGCTTTAGCACAGTCTACAAAGCTAAAGCAGGAGGCTTGCGCTTTGCACATCTGCTAGACCAGGTTTCTAGAATTGATCCAGAAATGAGGATCCGTTTCACCTCTCCACACCCCAAGGATTTTCCTGATGAGGCAAGTGTAAAATAAACACCCGGAGGATCCCTGCTTGCAGGCAGGCCGGCAGCTCTGAACTGCTAGATATCGGCTGCGCTTCCTTCCCAAAGGGAAGGTGGAATCAGAATGGGGATGGCAGCTCCTGGGAGGGGGAATGTTTGTGCTAAAGCTGGCAGGTTTGCAATTTGCTGGCTTTTACCTGGGGAAGACTCTTCCCCTTGGCATCTTGGTAGCGTTGAGCTGTCTATGACGTTGTCTCCTGATTGCCCGTCACAGGTCCTGCAGCTTATCCAGGAGCGACACAACATCTGCAAACAGCTTCACCTCCCAGCCCAGAGCGGAAGCACACGAGTCCTGGAGGCCATGCGGCGAGGGTGAGCCATCGCCGTGGGGAGCCCTCTGCCCTCCCCTCTGATTTAGGGTGCTGGTTTCGCCTCACCGATGCTGTGGTTTTCTGATTAGCAAATCCATGTGCTGTTCATTGCAGGTACACAAGAGAAGCGTATTTAGAGCTTGTACACCACGTGCGTGAGTGCATTCCAGGTAGGGGCTCCCTTCAGCGTCGTCTGAGCTCAGCACAGCTGTATCTTACCGTCCTTTCCTGAGCCAAGTGCTCCTCTCTCCCTTGAGGGAAGTGTAAGGCTGCGTCTCTGTTACAGGAGTGAGCCTGAGCAGCGATTTCATTGCCGGCTTCTGTGGAGAGACGGAAGAGGATCACCAGCAGACCGTGTCCATGCTGCGGGAAGTCCGCTACAACGTAGGATTCCTGTTTGCCTACAGCATGAGACAGGTGAGTGCAGGACCTGATGGAGAAGACTCTTATCTCTGGGTATCTCACCTAATTCCTGAGTGCTCTTTCTCACAATAAGACACTAAAACCCCCCAAACCTACTGAAAATAATACCTGAAGACTTGGTATATTAGTAGACTTTTTTGCTTGCATGCAGCATGGCCACCTCTGTGCCTGAAAGGCTTCCAGCTCCCTTGTCTGAGCGTCAGGGTTGATTACTGATGGGTGACCTGGTTCTGCAGGTGCTCCAGAGCAGCCTTGTCTGCGGAGACCTGGCTGCGGGTACATTTTTCTTTGCTGATGAGAAATTGTGCTGATGTAGCTGGGCTCCAGCCCAGCTATGGAGACTCTGTCAGTCGAGTCTGGAGAGAAGTGGTGAATGTTCAGAAGGTATTTCCAGGAGGAGAGTGGCTCGTTGGCAAGTCTCCCTTAGAATGCTCTCCAAAGTGCAAGATGCTGACAGGGAAGAGGTTGGGAAGCAGAAGGAGGCAAAGGAGCATGGATCACCTTTCAGCACATGGAACTAGAAGCAGTAGAATCCATTGCCTGTTCTTGTGGATGGACAGGCAACAGGCACATCTCACCAAGGAGCTGCACAGCCACCGATACTCAGCGCCCTACATCAAACCCTCTACCAAAAGGTGGTGCAGAAAGAACGTGAGGAACTCAGGGATGTTGGTGCTGAAAATGTTCCCTGAGATTGTAAAAACAAACTGTAGCTGTTGCCTGAAGAGCAGCCAAGCTGGCTGGGGCCTGACAAGGTTCTGATCTCAATGTCTGGTTACTGAGGAGCCACGCTTGCTTTGTCTGTTCACAGAAGACCCGAGCGTATCACCGGCTGCAAGATGATGTGCCTGCAGACGTGAAAAAGAGGCGGCTGGAGGAGCTCATTACCGTCTTTCGAGAGGAGGCTGCAAGGGCAAACGAGGAGATGGTGGGCCAGTCTCAACTGGTGCTGGTGGAGGGGGTGAGTGTGCCTGGAACAGAGTTCTCCTTCCACCCGCTAGCTGGCCAGGAGGCCCTTAGGCTGCACCCAGCAATCGCCACCTCTGCCTTCCCTTCCCCCTTTCTCCACACAACCCTAGGACTCCAAGACCATGTCTACACACTTAAGCAGGCAGCCTGATGCCCAGAGCACTGAGCTGAGCACGGGGAATGGGCCGGGTTAGAGATGTGTCTCTGGCCAAGCGCAGGATTAGTGCAGGCTTTGAAGCGTTGGCTTTGGTGTGTGGGTGTCAACACAGAAGCTCTAGCTGTAGGACTTTGTTATGTGGTGTGCTAACAGCGTGCAATGTGGATTTTAATTCTGGCAATAGTGCTCAATCGATTCCTGAGGCAATAAAGCCCAGCAGTGAACCAGAGCTATTGCCAGGCAGGTAACGTTCCCTGTCCTCCTTTCAGCCCAGCAAGCGCTCTGTCTCGGAGTTGTGTGGGAGGAATGACGGCAACATCAAGGTGATCTTCCCTGATGTCGGCATAGAGGATGCTGCGGGCTGCGGGGCTCTGGTCAGAGCCCAGCCAGGGGACTACGTCTTGGTGAAGGTGACCTGTCTCCAATACTCGTTTCCCTGGGCTATTTGTCTGGCACCGTGCTGTTCTCCAGAGCAGCTGCTGCCAGGAGAGCCTAAAATTAGAATGGATTTTAGTCCGTTCCTCAGCCTTCCTGAGGACTGTTGTGCTGTTCCTTTCAGGTTACCTCTGCCAGCTCGCAGACCTTGAAGGGAGTTCCGCTCTGTCGTACTGCCCTCGCCCACTCTGCAGCTCGTCCCTGAGGTATCCCTGCTGCCAGGGGACAAAACCAGCAGCACGTTTTCTCCATGAAGAAACAAGGAAATTGGGTCAGGAGGAGACGGGGTAGGAACAGGGAGATATGTGTATATTTTTATATATATATTTCTGTTTTGGCAACAACCTACCCCCCATAGATCCATGTGAGTCTGTAGGTAAAAGGGATGGAAGCTGTGTGTGAGCTTGCCAAACCCAGGTACTGCGGGATCTTGTGTTTTCGCTTGCGCAGGCTTGGCCCACCCTTGCAGTCCTCTGACTTTGATCACGTCCTCTAATGCCGCCCAGCCTGAGGGACTGCGGAGCAGGGCATTCCCACTAGCTCTGCTGAATTTAGGAGCTGCACAGACTGGCAGTGCCTAGAAAATCCAGCTCCGTAACTGCAGGAGAATGGCCAGAGTACTGCCAAGGGGGACGGAGAACTCGCAGCACAGAAGGTTGGGATGAATTCCTGCCCGATATTGGTGACTTTCCCATTGGCAGAATGCGTGGGAAGGGGCAGTAGGAGCCTGCACCCTGCCTGTGTGATGGGATGTGGCACCGAACTGTGGAACACAAACGGTGTTTAATGTGCACGAGTGATGCTGCATTTGTTGTATCTGAGGTCGAGGGAGAGCAGCCTTGCCCTTGCGCTGGGGGTGTTTGGATCTCCCTGTCTCCAGGCCTGGGGTGACGTGTGGTAAGGACCGGCTGCCAGCCGAGGGCTCTCCCTAGCCTGTTCAGACTTCAGGTGCAGCTTTGTAAGCCAAACATCTGTGGACGCCCTTGCCTTTGCTCGCTAGAGGAGAGGAATGGTTGTACCAGTTTAAATAGCAAATAACTTTTTAAGTGCATCTTACAGTTCCTTGTTTTCATCAGCCTGCAGCCAACCCGGGCTGCCTTGTGTCGTGTTCCAGCCTGGTCTGCTAAACTCAAACGGGAACCTGCAACCTGCACTTGTAAGCAAACTCTCGTACGAGACGTGAGAAGGAATCACCGCTTTTAATGCCAATAATCGGGTTGTTAAATCATCATAAAAGGCGCTGTGCAGTGACGGATTTTGAAGGACCAGCTGATGAGCTCTTAACAGAGCTGTCACTGCACGAAGTTCTAGATTTTTTAAAATAAATATGGAAGGGTTTTGCTAGAAAATCTCTTCTGCTCAGCTCTTTTGGGGATATAATTGCATCTCTCTGAAAACAGGATAGTTCACTGCATGTTCATTAGGCCTTGGTTCAAGACACAAATACATTTTGCTTATTATCTCAGAGCTGATTCTCTTCTCGTAGAAGGGAACCTGCACGATCAGCACTGGCCAGTGCGGGTTCTGAGGTGCCAACAAACGCGCGGTGCCGTTCTGCTCTCCTGCCTCCGCGTGGGAACGCGTCTTGGGCCCAGATTCGCAAGCCAGGTCTTAGTCCCCGGCTGCCGAGCGAGCGTAAGCCTTTGGCCAGTGGGATTTTAGGAAGAGGCAGCGAGAAGCTGCTTGGTTTGACATACCAAGGGACGGAGCAGCATGTTTAAGCACCATCCCTCAAAAGTGACAGCACTGAAGCCAGCACGCGCTTGCTAATTAAAACAACCAGGTAAGGGCCCGGTTTTAACCGCCCTGCAGCGTCTCTTGCAGCCTATTTTTCCCACGCATCTTGAAACCGAGGCCCAAGGCGTGCACCCCCTGGGAAGGGCTGACTCCCACCTCACTGCTCATTTTCACCTTCTCCCCACGGGCACCTACTCCACGGGAGAAACGCAGACCGCAGCGCGCCCGCCCCGCGCCGTCCGCGTTCGAGGTCGGCTGCGGTCGTTTTACAATCGTGATTTTAAGAGCGGGAGACTAACGAGGAGGAGAGCTGGGTTGTGCGTTTTGATGAGAAGGTGGCGATGCTCACTGCACAGGCTCCCCAAGGAGCCGTGGCACTTGCCATTCCCCTCCCTCCCCTCCTTGGGTTTTAGGGTTTAGGTTAGGCAGCTTGGGGGGGGTTTAGGCAGCGAAGCGTCCATTAGGGAGCGCTGGCAGTGACCTCGGAGGCCGAGTCTGAAAGAAGGAATGCTTTTCAGTCGGGGGCTAGAGGGTGGGATGCAGTTGCCTTATCGCTGCCTGCCTTGGCTGTGGGGAAGGCTGGACTCGTGCCTCGTGTTCGTTCTGCCTTGGGCTTGTTCTCGTACGTTTCTTTCCCCAGCCTGAGCAGGCAGGAGGGGCCTGAGCTCCGCAGGCTTTCCAGTCTCACGCTGGTTTATCCCTGTGCCTTCTGCAGCTGGAAGCTGAAGCGTTGCGGTGTTTCGGGATGCCTCAGCGATGGAAGGGATTGGTTTTGCTGGGGTTGCTGCTGTCAGACAGCTGTGGGTCCAAACCGAGTGCGGGTCAGTGTAAACGTGCACCGTGTCTGTGCTCTGCGGGGAAACACAGACCCAGGAATCCATACCCAGCCGTGGTAGGAACAGGAGTATCTGGGATTTGTTACCAGCAAAGAGGCCTGCTAGGTCTTTATTACCCAGAGCATAGTGTTTAAAAGCCTTAATTTCACCCAGTTTTGTGAGTGTCCTCGTAAGATCCATTTTGTAACGAAGCTCAGTCCTCACCTCTAGTATTCCACGCTTGGGGCGAGTTCTGGGGCGTTCCTGAGGCTCCCCAGGGGACAGTAGCCCTGCTGCCGTTTGCAGGCCGGATCTGAGTCCTGCTCTTCTGGAAAAGAGCTGCGGTCAGCCCCTGCCGGGCTTCGCTTGCGTCTGGGCACAGGAGGAGACGTTCCTCAGCGGGAAAACGCTGCCGGCTGGGTGCTGGGCTGTGTTTTGTTTCAGGGGTGACTCGGGAGTCGTCTCAGGGCAGACCTACAACTCCAAATCCCTCCTCCCTGTGCAGCCCCGGTGGTGTTCGGTGCGCTCAGCCTTCCTGTATCCCCTCTCCTGGGACGGAGACCGCTAGCAGTAACAGCCGGGCCAGAAGTCACCAGCGTCAGGAAGCAGAAAAAGAAAAAAGCGTGTCGGAGCAATGAAGTGTTCATTCGCGTGGTTTGGGGGTTACCTGCTTGCTCCTTCCGCTCTTCATGCTCCTCCGGTTCCAAGTTCACATTCCCAGTTTTGGGCAGAGTGGATTTCCCAAGCCAAGGAGATCAACCCTGCCCTGAGCCATTCCCACGGAGCGCTGCGTTTGGGGAACACCCTGGAAAAGGTACGGAAAAAGCCCCTGTGCCCAGGGACCCTGGCCCGCCAGTGCAGCGTTGCCGGTATGTGGTGATAAAAATGGGGATGTAGTGCTGCTGGGAACAGGTCTGTGCCGCCCCCAGTGCCCAGGCCAGCTGCCTGCCCGGGCTCTGCAGCCCCTGCCCCGTAACATCTGCCGCTCCGTTGGTTTTAATCTCATTTCTGATTAAAGCAGAGTCTCATTCCGAGCACAACCTCTGCTGCCAGAGCAGAGCAGCTCCGGGGACGCATTCTCCTTCACACCTCCCCGACTCCCCAGCTCCCTCCCGTCCCCCCCGATTTACAGCAGGATGGGGCCGGGTGTGTAGCTACGTGTTAGGTGGTGCTTGGTGTCGCAGAGCAGCCCGCAGCGAGTCACAGGGCAGTGCCAGCGCCCTGGGAGCAGAGCCCTGCCAGCCTCGCCTCTCCCACGGCTCCCTCCTTCCCGGGCAATTGTCCCAGGGTCCCTCTGGAGACCACACGAATACTTTTTGCCTTCCCAGTTGTGCCCCAGCCGCCCCTGTGGACAAACCCCTGGCGAGGGATTTGGCGGATGGGTTTTACGAGCACAGACCTGAAGTGGGGGGGTGACATTTGCTTTACAGCTTTACAGTAGCTGTGCCCCGAGGCATCTGCTGGCACCGGGATTTCATAACCCACAGCCGGCACGCTTTCCTGTCCCGCGT